CGCCGCCTCCCGCCCAGGCGCCCTCCCCCCCCGGGAACCCGACCCACCGAAGCTGCTTCGCCGCTCCAGCGTGGACGTTTCCTGGGTGGATTTGGTGCCTGACAGAGCCATGGCGGCGCTCGCCGAGAGAGCCGCGCCGCCGCTCCTCTCCGCCCTCCGCCGTGGAATAACGAACACGCCGCCGCTCTGCCTGGGCTGAGAGGGGAGGGCGGGGCGCAGCTGCCTCTGCGCGAAAGCCGTCCTCGCCTTCTCCTGCGCGCAAGCGGGGATCGCGGTCGGGGTGGCCGCCGCTTCGAATTGCACCAAAAAAAGCCAGCTTTTAGCGGGGCAACGGCTGCGAATGCAAGAAATTTGGGAGTTCTGCAAAACATCTGGGATTTATTTAGTATTTATGGGTTCGGTTCGAGCCGTCTTTCTTCTGAAACTCGACCCAGCTGGATTCGGTTTAGCTGTTAAGCAGAAGTCCTGCGTGCTGCTTTAGTGGCTGTCTGCCAGCCGCATCGTGTGCAAAATACGGAAAATTAGGCTAATGGGATAAACCATGATTATGCCAATAGATGAGGGTCGCGGGAATACAGTACAGCTAGCGCGTTTTATAGCTCAACAGGGCATTTAATCTTCTTGCTGCAGATCCAGCGTTCTTCCCTTTTTCCTGTGGCCTAGTATTTGTATTTTAAAATATTCTGACTTGCATCAGTATTTGTAGGGTACCTAGAAAGCTGTATCTAGGTACCAACATTCACTTGAAGTGCTGGGCTTCTTCTGAAGTAGACGGGATGTCAGACAGGCCTTTTTTCATCAGGAAGCAATCATAGTTTACCTTTTCATGAGTTTAGGGCTACCTGCCATAGGTGGGCTGCAAAAACCCCATCAGGCAATGGCAGGTAAGGACATGCACCCTTGGCTGTCACCTACCACTGGCCTAAATTTTTAGCTCAGATTTGTTAACTTGCAAGAGTTTGCTGTTTCAAGCATAATGTGGCTCCTGTTCCTCATTCAGAAACTATTGACTAATTAGATGATATACATACTTGGTCAATAACAAGTTTTCCCCCCTTAAATGTCTTTTCAGGTTTCTTTACATTACTCTTTTAGAATTGTCACAGCCTAGTTTTTTTTAATCTATACAGTGCTTTTCATTGTAGTTTTTTTATAGGAGTACAATGCAAGTAACTATTTGGCCAAAGCCCTCCCCCTTTATTAACAGAGATCTTAACATTTCTTGTGAATGTTATGACTTGGCATAGGAACCCAGTATAGATAAAAGGGCGCTGTAGCTGAAAGCTCTCTAATTACAGTAAGAACCTCTTGGCATCCACATTAAACATTTAAGTAGGATTTTTAGCATTCCTGTTAAAAGAATTTCCCTAAGAGACCTTGTTTGCTGTACCACCTTAAGATACAGCACTATTATCTCATGGGTTCTTCTGAGCAGAAAGGAAAGCACTTCTGCTTAGGGAAATACAGTAATACCTCGGTTCACGAACAATTCGGTTCACGAACAGCAGTGGCCGCAAATTTTTGCTTCCGTTCGCAAACTCCGCATCGGGTGACGAACACAACTCGTGGCCATCTTCCCTGCTCTGACACGTAGTCATGGCTTCCTCTAGGCGAGATTGCGGTCGCAGACAGACACTTGCTGTGAAGCTTTTTGGTGTTGCCTCAAGCAAGGTTAGGGTTCTCTCTTCATACTGTACTGTACTGTACTTTGTTTCATATTTTTGTGGTTAAAAAAAGAAAACATGGTTCAGAACGGATTAACCTTATTTACATTGAACCTTATGGGGAAATTTGATTTGGCTCGTGACCAATTCGGCTCATGACCAGAATCGTGGAACAAATTAAGTTCGTGAACCGAGGTACCACTGTACTAGGGAAGCCCAATCCAGGAAACCCCCCTTTACAGTAAAAGAAATTGGTAGACCCTTTAAAGTTGCCCCCTAGAAAATCTTCCTTCTTAAATTTAAAACACACACAGACACACACAGATTTTGATCAAAATGCTGTTTTAGAATTGTTAAAGATTCTTAAGAAAAATAGAGCTTCTGAGATCATGATAAAATTCTATTTTGCATTCTGGAAGTAATGAATGCCTTTAGGAGAGAAACCCTGTTCATTTTTGATTATTCAAAAACAAGTGTGTGAATTAAAAAAAAAATAGTGTAACCAAAACCTTTTTTTTTTTTTAAAGGATCTTCATTACATCCATGTTCATTGCATCTTTATTCTAAAATGAAGCAGATGGCAAGTCTTTTATTTAAAACTTTATTTTCCCTGGACATAAAACTTTCATTAAAAACACCCAAATTTATGTTTATTAATCAACCAGCAGAAATGTTTACATTGGGATTGATATTAATGAAGCAGTAGAAATAAAAACCTTGTGACTGAAACTAGATGCATTCAAACGGTTTTTACTTTCTTGCTTAAACTAGGCCCAGTTTCTTGGCCTTTAAACTCAGAAATAAAAACATTTGCTATTTCCTTCTGCTACAGCACACACATTAGTAAAAATTGATCACAGTAAAGTCACAACAGCAGGAATAGCAGGAGTTAAATTATAAATAAAAATATATTAAGCATGTTTGCTACACAGTACAATTGCCATTTAATTGAATCTATGCACTGTTTATTTAATGTCTGTTGCAGAGAGAATACATATTTTCTTTCTTTGTGCTATTGATTAAAGTTCATCACTCTCAAAAAGTCCAGACTGTGCTGCCATACGCTGATATTCTCCTTCATCAGGAAAAAAAGCCTGTTTCACATTCACACCTTTCCCATTAAGTGCCAAATACTTGCTAAAAGTTGGTCGAACCTTCAGTGGCTTTGGATTTGGAAGTGGCTTGTATGTGTGAGCTGAAATAGATAATGAAAGAAAATGAATAGAGAGGGAATGTGCTATAGCACTAAAAGGCAAGATCATATGTAGTATACACAGTCTGAATGAGTTTTATCATGGTGTTACTTCTGTTCTATTATGCCACCCTTGTCCTTCTAACCCACCCAATTAAGATAACCCAAAGTAGATCATTTGCAAACATTCATGTAATTTAGCCAGGGAATATATAACTGAATTGATGTATATAGTAAGGACCAACCCAGGTATAAGGAAATCTACATTTACATCAGCAGAGAATAAACACTTACTAGCCACATCCAATCTGGCATGACATGTTGCTACCCCTGCCTCATTGACTGCAGATACAGTGTACCAACCAGCATCTTTCTTATTTACGCTGTGGATCAGCAAGCAAACCTTCCCAGAGGCATCATGAAACATGCTAAAAAACGGAGGAAAAACAAAATTACCTTAACTGGACCTGACTAAAAATTGTCACTCTTAATTAGATTCTAACACACGTATACAAATTCTTGTTAAGCATTTTTGGATGTTTCATTGCCCAATGCTTCTCTTTTATCACTGACTGCAGCCCAAGGTACTGCTATATAGTCGCCTATCATATAGATCAGCCCTCCTGTTGCAGATCTGCCTTCTCCATCCCAAATTCCACGATTTCTGATATTCTACAAATTCATGATATGCATGTGTCCCTCTGAATACCTCTTCTCCATCATCACTGCTACGCACAAGGTATCTTCAGGCAGATACACCCTTCCATATGTCTGTACAACAGCTAGAGAAACTGAATAAACTAGTAGCAAAATTCTATTATTATTATTATTATTATTATTATTATTGCTGTTGTTACATGAAATACACAGGAAGGAGCAGCCATCATTTTAATTTGTTTATTCTATTAAATTTAGAGGCTGCCCAACTCCAAATGACTAGTCAGCTTACGCTTTAAAAAAAAGTATAAAATAGAGAAACTACGTCCTAATTTTCATTTTAAAATTTCTTAATTTTAACAAGCTCTGCTTTCTGAACACTGGTCACATCGCTCTTGGCAGAGAAACCAGGATCAGAATCTTACAGGTTGACTAGAGGATGCTGGATGGGGAGGCAGCATGAGACAGAGCACAGAAAAGGTGGTGCTTATTAATGAGTGGAATGTGATATAATGTTTGTAGTCCTTTAACGAGACTCTGCCACAGGGTACCATCTTCATTCCTAATTAGCTAAAAGCAAATCCAGCAGAAAAGTCCTTACCTGACTCGATCTGTATTGAACTGTACCATTTCATTATTTCTTTTCCAATAGATTTGTGGTGGGGGGATAGCAGACACTTGGCATTCAATTCTGGCTGAATCTCCCTCATAAACTTTTGTGCTTTGTGCTTTGAAAACGAAAACTGGTGCTTTCCGATGTTCTTTTGCTAGAGATTTTAATAAAGACACAGAAGGAGTCAGTTGTTTTAAAAGACAAAAACTGAAAAGAAACCGCACATAATCATGAAATAGCAAAAGTGAATGCCGGTAAAAAAACCCCATCACAGTAAAGTAGTTGACATTCACATTATTGAAAACGACTCTGTTCTAAAGTTGAATAGTGGCTCAGTGTGTATGGTAGTCTGAGCTCCAAGTTATTTCAGCATAGGAATCTATACTGCATATTAGATTTATGCCAATATTGGCTATGGTTCCAACATACATTGCAATGATGCTTACGTCATCACTGAGAATAGAGCAGGAATAGAGAATCTTTCAGACACTGCAGATCTTCCACTGTTAGCAGGCCCAGCTGAAATGGATGCTGAAGCTATATCTTGAGGGCTAGATTCCCCACCCTTAGAACCTACATCTTATAGTTAGCCCTCCCCTCCCTACATCAGACTGTACAGGTAGTCCTCATTTAGTGACTGACCCATTTAGCAACCATTCACAGTTATGATGGTGATGAAAAAAGTAACTTTATGACCAATCCTTGCATTTACGACCTTCACAGGTCTGTAAAGCAAAGGAAAGCAAAATAAGATCAAGCCCAGTTGCGGTTTCACTTAGCAACTGCTTTGCTTAATGACTGAGTTGCTGATCTCAATTGTGGTAGCTAAACGAGGACTACCTGTATACACTGGAAAGGAAATCATCATCATCATCTATACAGTATATAATAATATATCTGTTGAAAGAAAAAACATTTCCAAGCAGAGAAAGACTTCTCATACCAATAACATCTAGTTTCATTGCAAAGGAAGCTTCTCCAGCACGATTATAAGCCACACACTCCCATTTTCCTGCATCATAGACCCGAACTGCTTCGAAAATGAATGAGTGGAAGCCTTTTTCTGATACTATCATTTTATGAAACTCATCTGGGTGGACAAGTCTTCCATTTAGGTACCATGCCACATCTGGGGTTGGTAGCCCACTGACCTACAAGGGGAAAGAGAAGGAATTGAGGGGAAGTTTATGTCTAAGGGCAAATCTACATGGAAACATTCCATATTTCTTATTCCTTAAAATATTTCTTATCTAATAGTACCATTTTATTCACACAACAATCCTCCAAGGAGTACAGGTAATCTCCAGTTTAAGAATGAGTTCCGTTCCCAAGGTCTTTTCTTAAGTTGAATTTGTATGTAAGCCAGAACAGTATTATTGTATAATACTGTATAAGTAGTACTGCGTAATGAACTCGAATCATTATATATTTAGCTCAAATTTTGCTACAACAGGTTCCGTTCTTAACTATGGGTTGTCTGTAACCTGGGCGTTCTTAACCCAGAGACTACCTGTATTAGGCTAAGATCCAGTATGCCTGGTGAGTAACTCTGAATTTAGTAGGGAATTAAATCCAACATTCATTGCTCTAGCCTGAAGCCAGTGTGGGCATCCTTATCTGAAAAGAAAACAAAAAAAACAAATTGCACATCAGTATTTGGATTTTCCCTTAGATCATGTGGCACTCATGCTGTTCCATAAATTCTCTTAGCTGTTCAATTTTAGGTGCATGTGATTAGATGAGGAGATGACATCACAGCCTGTTCCTTGGCCACATTTTTGGCTAGTTCAGCCAAAAAAAACACAAAAAACTGTATGTACATTGGTCCATAAAATAGTTGAACTGAATGTTTCTGATTGAGAAAGAATAAACCCATATTCCTGGCAATTCATACACAATCACTTGCCCCATTTATTCCTGGACCCTCTAGCACAGCTAGTGCCTTCCAGAACTGATGGATTTCAATTCCCATCATGATGGAAGTCCAATACATGTAGGAAGATACCAAGTAGAAAAAGACTGATCTAGCAAGAAGAGAGGTAGAACTGTTAGCCAAAATATCACTTTATTTATATGGATCATATTGTGGAGATTTGGACTTTTTTATTGAAGAAGATTGCTCTAAGTTTAGCGGCAACCCCCCCCCCCCAATAAAACAAACAAATTAACTGTACACTATTGGAGGAACTTCTGTGTAGGAACTGGCATATAACATGTACATATGGTAGACTACAATGCTTTGGAAACCACGGATGATCATGGTGCTCCAACATACGTACACCAAAACTGTGCATTATAAACACCTATTATGCATTTCAGTAGTATGGTTTGTAACATATGAAGCAGCTTTAACAATTAAATAGGCAGGATATGATCTACAAAAAGGAGATACATAGCTAAATGGATAAGATGACTTTTGTGATTTCAGTCAGAATGATTTAGGCAAAGTAACTGAAATGTCTTAATCATTTAATGTTGGTATGAACATACAGGATTAGGCCAGAATATCTCTGTCACACTACATGCTCTGTTTAGCAACATGCCTGTGGGCTGGAAAGCCTTTCAGATTTCTTATCCACTAGCAAACAAGGCTATATAAAAAAATAAAGAAGAAGAATATTGGCAGAGTGTCACTCAATTCTCAGCAGTGAAAGTCACCGGCTTCAACATGGTGGGTGCAATCCTGTCACCTGCAAAAATTCTTTTTAACCTGTGTTGCACACATTGTATGCATGTAAAAAGGGCAGGGCTTTACTCACCCAGACATAACCACCATTATGAAGTCAGTGATTGCTGCTGTGAACGCCACTGCCAGTCCTCCAATTTATATGGTTACTAACCACAACACTACAGCTATAATTAAACCCTACTCACAACAGAAGATATTCTGATCCAAGTACTGTACAGTTACAATTTTAAAAAAGAGTGCTCGTGACAATGGATGATTAACCTGCTCAGGAAGGCTTTCAGCCATTATCCTAAATCCCTCTTACAAAAATTCTATAATTAACCAATGGAATCTGTTTCCAGAAGATCTGAGGGTCAATAGTTTTAGATGGCTTTAAAGAGAGATTACACAGATTCAGGGGGAATGGAGAGAAGCTTAATTTGTTTTCTTAGTATCAGATGCCTGGGAAAAATACAGGATTTTCATGTCCCAAATGTGACCTTCTAAGGCCCATCTATTTTAATCCTGCTTGAAAGAAAATCCTGGATTCCAAGAACTTTAATCTAGCAAAAAAAAAAAAAAAAAATCTTAAAAACAATTCCAGTATCAACTGTGTCCCAAAAATTGGAACAATGCATTTATTACCTTGAAATCAATCCTACAGAATCTTCCTTCTTCAACTGTTATATCTTCAGGCACTTGCAAGAAACGTGGTTGAAAAAACTTCTCCTGAATTGCACCTTCATCACTTCTTTCTCCTTTTGAAGATGGCCTATTCCTATATTACAAATGAAACAGACAATAAAATGATTTCTAAATAATCTTTCTTCCCCACATAACTTAGGCCACCCAGCCTGCATGGTTATTTCCACTGCATGGCAGCTCAATTATTATCTTCCCAGAATGAAATTATATTTCTAGGTTTCCCTCTTCACTAAGACAACCACCAGAACTTGTGCCTATTTCACAGATGAAAGCCCCAAGGCTTATATTACAGTGCCTTATAGTTTTCCCGCATGTCAAACTAAAATACTGTTATAAGAATTTGTCATTTTCTAAATGTCCAAATGGTCTGAATCATGACTTTTAAGTGTGCAACTTAAACCTCACAATCTAACAGTGGTCAAACCTTTTTAGTACATACAGCTTTATTTGTAATTCATTCACTGTACAGCCTTGTAGTGTAGATCTAATATTTCACACAAAATATTTTCCTGCTTGGATAAAATGTGGCATCATAAAACATACCCATAGCCAGTACCTTACGTGTGGAGGAGGAACTTGCAGCCGTACACTTTCCAAGTTTTGCTGCTGAAAACAAAAAGAGATAAGTTATCATAACAGAGTTGTGCAAAAAGGTCATAAACTGCAGAACTTCTGGTACTTAAACTTGCCAGGTAACTAACAATATAATCACAGGGATCTTTTATTATAGCATATAAAATAACAGTCTTCTCTATCAGCACAACTTCACTATCATATTAAACACAGTAAGAACCTCAATCGTTATAGTTGTGGAATATGGGTGGGAGGGTTCTATAATGCTCATGTGGTGCTTGTGGGCTTCCACCAGCCACTCTAAGACAGAATGTTGGGCTACTTGGCCTTGTCAGGAGAAACACACGTGTCCTATAGAATGATGCAGGTTTTTTCTTCACAAAACACAGTATTTTGGCAAACCTATAATGTAGTCTTTGTTAGAAAAGGGATCCCACTAAAATAAGACCTAGGGACATACTGTCCTTCAGCAGTGCAGGAATAGCAGCCGAGTCATTTTAATAGAATATTGGCAAGAGCACAGTGTTGTGCACGCTCACAAAAGGGTTCCAATAGCAATCAACACGTCTTAAACTGGAAAATATTTTCCTTGTTAGATCACAGCTACCTAAGCTTTCACAAAATATTACACAACATGTAATGGCTATGTAACCTAAAAAAAACCACTATTATTTCAGCTTAAATATTAAAATAATATCTTCACATAGATATTTTAATATTCTGTTTCTGAAAAAAAAACAAATAGAAGCAATTCAAAGTATAATTTAGGCACAGTAATATTCTTACCATTTTAGTGATGACAAGAACAGTTAAATATAGGTAGTGCAGTACAGACAGTTCTAGGAATGTGCATACCTATCATAGTATGATATAAGCTCTGTGACAAATTTTTCACATCTGTTGACTACATTTTGGAATGCTGATTTTTGCAGCGCAGAAACGCTTTTCACCAGACTAATTTCATCAGGCCTTTCATATGAATTCTAGCACATGAAGAGCAAATTGCCCTCAATTTGGCTGTGATCTGATGAGATACTGGCTGCTTTTTAGATAAACACGTAATCACTAGCAACAATTTAAATAGTTAACATGAAATAATCCAGAGGCCGAATAAGCCCCAGAAGCAACATTTAGGGCAAAGGAATCGCTAGAACTAAAATGTTTGACTCAGTATTCTGTTTTTTCCTCCTTTCCCTGCTGATCAGTTTCTTTTCCTTACTACAGCCCCTTCTTATTTGCTATATAAATTAATGTGACAAATACTATGTATCTGAGACCTAACCACCCTCATTCCAATGTCATGGAGTAAATGCATGCCCCCCTCAGCTTTTCCATCCATTTGTATGAAAAAATATTGTTCTGATTTATGTGGGACATGCTCAGTCCCTGTGACTGCTTGGTTTCTCCCAACCCCAGCCTTAAGCATCCTGTGCCCCAGCCTTTGTGACTCCATGCCTTTTTGCTGTCTGTCCTCTTCCTATCTACCCCACTTTTGCCTCAAAAGCAAATGGGCTATTCTAGATTGCAATTTCCACAGTACGGGATCTTTTATGCAATCAGTGCAAATTCTGTAAACAGGTGAGGGATGCTAATAGTGCTACCAGTTATACCACTCAACTCTGAATGGGTATTAATACAGTAATTGAAATAATAATACTGTAACAATGAAAATAAAAGGTGTTACCATGAAATCTTTCAGGTTCCTGTAAATCCTCAATCTCTGTGTTCTATTTGCCTACTCTAAGAATTGACAAAATGGAAGTAACTCTAAACAGGAACAATTAAATAATAGTAAAACAAACCACCGATAATTTATATGATATTATTATTATTGTTATTGTTATTATTGTTATTGTTGTTATTATTATTATTTTTGTTAGCTACTCTGAACATTACTGTATCTAAAGCAATTATTTCATTTGTTCTTGATTAAAGAGAAATAGTTTGGTGTAGTGGTTAGGACATCAGGCTAGAAACTGGGAGACCATGATTTCTAGTCCCACTTTAGGCACGAAGCCAGCTGGGTGACCTTGGGCCAGTCACTCTCTCTCAGCTCTAGGAAAGAGGCAATGGCAAACCATTTCTGAAATCTTGCCAAGAAAACTTCAGGGACTTCTCCAGGCAGTCACCAGGAGTCAATGCTGACTTGGAGGCACCAAAGGGGGCAAAAAGGGCAAAGCTGCAGCATACCTCTCCCCCCTCCCTCCACATGGCCTGTGTGAAGGCCACCTGATCTTCCTGGTGTCTTTTTTCTCCCTCCCTCCCTCCAGCTGTTGCTGACCCCAAACTCAAGCCTATTATACCCAGCCCACCCGCCTGCCCTTGACTTTAAGGGTGATAAACATGTGGCAGCTAAGGGCAGATGGAGAACGGTTGGTGCTGAGAGATGGGGGAGAAGGGGGAGGTGGATGTGCTGCCCTTGAATTCTAGAACAGGGGCAATCCACTTAACCCTCCACTGATCCTCTCAGCATCTTCCTTTCTTTTCTCTACTTTCCTTTAGCCATCACTGATGACCTTACCTTTCTCCCCATTCTTCCAACCCTAAAACACATGTACTGTATCTGGAATAAACATATTTTGAGTCCATGGCCTAACCAAACATCTTTCAGGCCCATCTTCCTATGTTTCAGGCGCAGACCACTCCCAAGCAGCAGTTCCATGCATGGAAAGTTTTGTGCAGTTTATATTATCAGTTATAATAAACCATAACAGAACAGTTCAGGATCAATAAAGAGAATGACTTCCTTCTCGTATCATTCTAATACCTCAGACAACCTGGAGACAAATCCCACTTCATCCATGTTTTACCTCAGCTATAATTTAAATTTATGCATTAGGTTAATATATTTTTTTCCTTTTAATTTAGCACAATATATAATCTTAGCCATTGTGGTTTGTAAACAGTATAAACTGTATTATGAGTGAGCCTGGTCACTATGACTTGTTCAACAAACCATGATGTAGAATACTGTGTGAACTGAGCCACTGTCTTTCCATTCCTCATTCTTTAGCTAGCTATGCTGCAAATACTGCATTCAGGAAAACTTCTGCTATGTCATATTATTGACTATGGGGAACAGTTTGGATTTCAATTCAGTTTTTCGGTGAATAGGGGAAAATTAAAAAAGACTTACTTGTGTGTCCTGTGCATTTTGTTCATTCTGTGGTACAAACATAGATGCAGCATTCTCTGGTCCAAGTAACCTGCGAGCCATTCTCTCTTCGTAGCTTAAACGCTTATCAAAAGGAAAAGTGAACATGAACATTAATTAAAGAAAGTCAGTGAGTGCTTAGATTTCCATTCAGTATTACAGAGCTCACTATAAGATAACCTGGGAATTACTCTTTTTTGACAAAAGTGAGTAGTACAAACAACTCTTTTAATCACTACTGCTACAGATGTGAAAGCAGCATACTTTTACTACAGGGATTCTCCAACTGAGTAAAAGCTAAATCTTCATGAAGCAACACAAGGGGGAAAGAGGGCAGTCTACAAGGAAAAACATGAACTGGATGTTTTTATCGAACTCCCTAGGGGTGATTTGAGGGGAGAGCTTTGTGTTTTATTAGCCAATCAGCTGGATCCTTTGTCACATTTGCTGCCATGTTGCTGTTACAAATAATTCCTTGAAAAGGATCAAATTCTTGAAGTAGGTTCCATAGTTGCTTCCAGGTTGGCTCCACCGCTGCAACTTCTGCAACCCTATGCTCCTTTTTGGATTAAGAAAGATTAAAACTATTTGAATGCAATCCTATTATTCCTCCAAGAAAAGTAATATATGATGCACCATGAAGGCTGCCAGCTTACATTAAATCAGAGGAACGATCCTGGGGAAAAAAGGACCTTTAGCTGATAATTAAGTTGTTTCCAGACTGTATGACAACAAATGGAGACAATGTAAGGTCAATAAAGTTTACTTTTGTCCATAAACTGTTATTCTCACAGAGGCTGACCTAGAAGAAAAGGAGTTTGTATCACTCCTTTATGCTACTACAACTGGCACAACATACTTGTGCTCCAGTAAAAAAGAAATGTGATTTAAAATATATGCATACACTGTATGTACAGACTCTACAGCAGGACAGTACAGGCTACACCTCCTTTCTCCCCCTCCCGCAAGCAGTTGTTGTGGCATCCAGAGTTCCTCTAAAAGTTGCTAACAAATGGTAATTGTTAACATGACAAGAATGAAACTATTAAATACATAGAGGATAATTATTGATGGTGCTGAATACAGTTTTGTTTTGCTTCAACCTCTTTCTTTTAGCACAATACCAGGCACATCACAGAAAGAACTTAGGTATTTCTCTGCTCTGAAAAGAGACTGCAAACCCATACTGTAAGCCAAGATACCACAAATTGATGGCATGCAGGATGCTCATCTCAGCCAGTGGAACCTATTGCCACATTTTGATTAAGAATATTATATTACTGTGTCTTTTTTCAAGAAGTCAGTACAGTATAGGATATCTTATTGATAACTGCCTCTCATTCTTCCACCCATGGAGACATTTATTGAATTTCCTGTGTACTGAAACCCTCCTCCTGTTTTTGATCCCATTCCACAAGCCAACTGATATGGCCCCATGCACTTGGACTTGCCCTCCTTACTAAAACAAACACTAATTCAGGTTTTGGAGTTGTTGAGGGGGTTCTTTTGGTTGCTTAAAAATGCTTTATATCTTGCTAAAAGGATGGCTACACAATCCAAATGGATGTGTGACTTTATGTATTAAGAGCACTTTCATACAATTTCTCAGAGTTTTCTACATTCAGCAGCTAAGCCAATTTATTTTCAGCTCAGATGCAGCCTATCTGAATGTACAGTAAAACTTGATTTGTGACAGTGCTTGATATACCCCACTTCCCAGGCTTCAGTCACCCAAGCAGGTTTCTCTCAAAAAACAGAGGGCTTGATGGATTTTCAGCTCCCCTTAGGGACTGCCTAAATTCTTTCCAATTTGATCAAACAAATGCACACAGTGTGAAAGAAAGGATATGAATAGGGCAATGGTACTGCAAGCAATTTCTTTTATTTTCCTTTTGTCTGCAGTAGGGGGTGAGAGGATTTCTGTAGCAGCTCTGATGGAGCAAGATTCAACCACACACTTCACATCTTGCACTCTGCTTGATTTTAGCTTATGTGTTAAATGAACCTAGCTATTGTTTGTGGTTTAAGGATTAGCATGTTGAGTGAACCCAGCCTGTTGTGATTAAATAAACCATGGTTAATTGAACAGTTGCTTAATGTAGTGTTAAACCTAATCACAATTCTAGAGAAGCTAGGAAAGTGCCTCTCCTAAGCTGATAATTGTTGCCCGATGAATGGATAAAGCATTCCATTAACTTCCCATATATATACTTGGACTAGATTTAGTCTTGACAACACATGAAAAGAAACTTAAGAGTAATACAAATTTGTGGTTTCATCCATAATGAAACATGAAAGATGAACCGAGTGCAAGAGCAATCTTCAGATGGATGAGAGTAACTGAGCATAAAAAAATAGCATAGGGCTGCTGCCACTTTCTCCTACTCTAAAATCTAATTCAATTTCCTGGATACCCTTGCCACATTATGTACCTTTTCCCCACTTGCCTACCTCCTCCTTGGTGGCTCCCCTGGAAAACAGGGTAATGATGTCAAAACGCATATATAAATTGTTGTGGTCATAATAAAGAGAAAATGGTGGGCATGCAATACATGATGGTGATTTTCAGCTTTATCCCTATACTATGTGTAATTAATTGTCCCCTATTTTCTTTCACAACTGGCGATCAGAAGGGAGTCATTCTCATCACAAGTTTGAACTGATTCTTGGATATGTTTTCCCCTTGGACGATGTCCAGTTATAAATCTCAGGACTACATCCCTAAGTGGCATTTGAGCAAGATGTAAGCACTGGTGAGCCAAGAAATAATTCATGTCAAGATGCATGAATGAGAACTTATGTTCTAATACTGCCAGGGCTCGATGGTCTCTGAAAGACCGAGATCCAGAATTATCTCAATTTTGAACTCAGTATATACTCAGTATATACAATATTGGACGTATTGCTCCTGACAGTGGGTCATCTTGTTGGGCACTGAACAGTGTAAGTAGCCATTTCAACATACAGATGTCTCTTAAATGCATATATTTCAGAATTGGGTTTTAGCTTAATTAATTAGTATACGGAAGCAAGGAAAGAAAATTCAGACTAATTCAGCTTAAATAGTAATTTCCTAGCTTCCCTTTCAAATATATTCTCTGTACATTGTCTTACTTGGTTCCCGTTATGCAGAAGGTTATCTTTACATCGTAGTTTCCTTTCCAAGTCTTGAATGAGGGCGTCTTTCGTTCCTTGTATCTCTCTGTCGGAAGTCTTTGGTACTTGTTTAAGGCTACCGGTTTGCGGCTTGTACATAGGCTTCGAATAACTGCTAATTTAAGGAAAAGAAGGGTGATCTTGTAATTATTAAATAGAACTGAGAATAAAAGACATAGTATTGAAGATAACTCCATTAGAAGTTTATATTGTAGGTGATGTGCAAGGATAACCCCATCAGTGCCATGTACATGGGGTCTGCTATATGCCGCATATCATGTAAAAATAAGAATATGGCCCTGAGGAGAAGAGGAGAAACATACATGGCTACTAGGCTGTGGAACCCTAACTGGTCCATCAATAATTTTCTGTGGGATCTTTCAACTGAGGTTATAAAGTACAAAGTATGAGAAACACAGTGTGATGTTTCATTGGAAATATTACTTATGTTCAATCACTTTCTGCTTTTGAAGACCAAGAACAATCCTTTATGGGAAAAAAGCAATATCAGATGTTTGGTCGTAGTTTTTGCTGTCAAACAAAAGAACAAAGGTTTTCTTTCCCCTTTAAAAAGTCTGCTGTGCTGAGAGTTGGTGAAGAAATTTATAGTAAGTCAGTAGGGCAGCTATGAGAATCACTGCATCCAAAGCTTAGTTTGCTCTGAACTACTCTCAAAATGCCCTTAATACAGTGATATGTTTGTAACTGGAGACAGAATCTTTCCTCTTGATTCTAACCTTTTCAAGCAGTGCACATCAGGGGAGAACTGTGCTCTCAAATCTGTATCACCTGTTTAATACTCTACTTTATGTACAAAAATTAAGTAGTACATACTCTATATTAATCTCCAAACCTTAATGAAGCTAGCAATTTTAGTTAATTTCTTGTTGGCAAATAATTTGCTTTTAAATACACCTATAGTGTACCATTAACAATTATTACTTCTAATAGCAGTTTAATAATACAATCCCATATTTGTTTGCTACTTTGTAATGTCAAATCTGTCTCATTTGTTTAGTCATAATCAATTCCCGTATCGACTTACTTACTCTCACTGATTGTAATGGGGCTTAATTCCAGGTAAGACATGATCCCATCTTTTAGATTAATTAAGGTTTCTTGCCTCACAAGATGATTTTTAAATTTTTTAACTACCGAAATATAACAATTTTATTTTAAAAAATCATTTTTATTTTTGCCTCACAAAGTGTTGAACTCAAATAATGGCTAAATATTTAATAATTTCATAATGAAAAACTTTTTTGAAAAATAACTTTCATTTTTTAACATTTTATGGTAGGTAGTCCAGAAATGTATAATCCTTCTATGCAAATTATCTAAACAAAATTATAGCTGGCACTGCTGCTCCCAAATTTACTTTTTTATTGGTCCTATTATTGCTGGGAAACATTCCTCTTTTTCTTGGACTTTTGTGCCTTCAGATTTTTATGCAGAATGTGGATGCCACTTCACTGCATGCATAAAAATGCACCTGAATATTTTGTGTTCTATGAGAAATCTGAGAGCTGTCACTTATTTTCAGAAAACTATATACCAATCCAGTGTTTACCTAGCTCCTTTTTCAAGAAAGCTGACTTTTTCTGACATTTATAACATTCTAAAAAAGGAGAAAAATCATTTATTCTTCCATTTTTCAGGGTAAGATTCATTATACAGTGGCAAAAATATAGTGAAGAGGAGGAAAGATCTAGCCTTCACTGATATCAAATGTATTTTCCATTCAGGGCTGGATTGTACCCAACTATGCCATTTGTTCCAGATCAGTTGCTTAGTGCCTGGATAAATAGAGCTGAACCAGGAAGTGCCCTAAGGAGAAGACTCACTAAAATTGAATTCCTAAATTTACTTAAACTGTTTCTGTCAAATGTGTTGATCTACACTTCCCTTCCTCCTAGCCAGAATGGCTGAAGATGACACCAGCAACTGTAATCCAACTCATCAAGTTTTGAAAAGGCTGCACTAGTGAACATACCCAACAAAGCAGTGGCAGCATTTGCACAACAAGCATATCCATGGTTACCTTAATCATGGTTTATTCAATTAAACCAATTTTCTGGGTTCACATGATACACGGGCTGGATTTCCACAACACACTAAGCTAAAATGTGGTTGGCTAGTCTGTGGTTCAGTACACTGCACAAGCACATTGAGTGACACATGTAAAATCTTCCACAGTAAATGGGGTTTACTCCCAAATAAGATTCCTTAAGTCATTTGATGGAGTTGTGCTAAAACTAATGGAACTTTGTATTATACCCAGGATAAAAACATAAGATAAATCAATAATAATTAAAAACTAGAATGAACATTAATTTGTCTCAAAACAAATCTGTTCATCTTTTCTTTAAATAAATCCTTCATAGATATATTTATTACTGACAACTAGACTAGTGCATCTTTCTCCACAATTAGATTTCATTGTCAGGCCTTGTTTCAATAGGATAGTATTCTGCCTATATTTGTATTTTTCCGCCACCTCGGCTTACGTGGAGCTTTGGAAACTTCCATGCCGCCTATTTTGCACAAGTTAGCATTTGGAACAAAGCAGACTTTCCACAATGAACAGCGGTTGTACGGTTTCCATTCCTGGGTTCCCCCTTCTAATTCCCATTTCTGCATTCAACACTTACACTGAATACAGCTCACTGACAACAGGGACACAGCATTCAGGGTTTCACGAATGCACGTACACCCAGTTCAAAGCAAGGGAAAGAGCATACTTACTTTGAATCCACTGAGGAAGGACCTTGGCTATTATTACAATCAAAGTGAGAGGGCAACACAGAACAAAGGAATGCTGCAGGGGACTGGTTATGCATGGATGAAATTCTCTGCCCAGATGATGAGCTAGCAGGAGACTGTGCAGATGCGGGAGTTACGGGAAATGAAGCGCTATGTGAAGGTGAAGAGAGTGAAATTGGCGAGCTCAGCGATGAAGAGGAAGCAAATTTCTTCTCATTAGGATTACAAGGCTGGATTAAAATGGAAGACTGCTTGGTTTGCCTGCTCAGTAGCGTAGCAGAGGTCTCTGATCCTGGAGGCTGTGGCTTCCCTTGATAGGTATTTTGAGACTGGATAAAGTGTTTTGGACGCTCATAATTAAACATGCTGGGTTGATACATAGAGGACACAGACGGGAGACTACTGACACTCATGGGGAAGCTTTCACAATTGTCCTGCGTTTTAGAAGGTGAAAACTGGCTTTGGGTTGGTGGTTGGAAAGAATGAGACGATAGGTTTTGTGGCCTTTCTTGGCTGGGATCCTAGGTAGGACAGAATCCCTGCCTCAGCAAAGAGTAGCTGTCTTGATGACGATAATCCCTTTAGGAAAACAATACAAATAAGAATAGAAATAAATGGGCATGCCACAAGATTATATAGACAATCAAATTAGGAGGGAACCAATGGAGAAATGTTAACATTATCCAGTTCTCTCAGGAACAAGATGTTTTGTACCGAAAGCATCATTGAAAATTGCCTGCCTTATCTTTTTTCTCCCATATTAATTCTTTATTTGAACAGTTTCCTCACAAATTAACTCAATGTTCAAATATGCTGAAATAACCTATGAATACCGATAAGCACTTAAAAGTTGTCAATGTACAGTAGTATTTTAATACCCACTCTCCCCATATGCAGAATATGTATTTTTATAATGCCTTTCATTGCAAACAAAAAAAACCCATCCTCTCATGCGAACTGCATGGCAATTAAACGCATACTAAACTCTTTCTCTGAAATCAGTGGAAAGCAATACACTATTTTTGCAAAAGTATACCTCTAGCTAGTAAAGATACAACTCACTCATCTGGGGACTCAATGCAGTCTTTACTACTCAAGACATTTAAAACCATGTAAAGCCTTTCTACAGCATACAAGTAGAAATTAACATTACAAGTGGCTACTGAATTATATCAAAGCACCTCACTAAAACAACTCAAATCAAAAATTATGCAATACCAATACATTATGACAAAGATGAGATTAATATCTTCCTCGCTTATATATTGCTAAGGTTCCATCATCCAAGCAAAATCTAAGTACCAACTAAACAAACCCTATTTATGATGCCTGAGATCAATAAGGTGAACAGTTTATCCCTCTCTGCACTATGCTCAAATTATTATTCCTTACAATGGAAAATATACATATAATTCTAACCAGATCTTAGTACCAAAGATCTGCCAAATTATATCTCAATTTTCTGATCAACTTTTATAATATTTTTGAAACTAATGAGAAACAGTATGAAGCAGATTTTTTAAATTAAAATAAAGCACAAAAATAAAGTTCATGTAGAGAATTATTTTCACACTTTTTTGCCTAGACAAACAGTGTTTTGCTTCAATCAGGATTAAAAGAACAGGACATTTACAGATATAGTTAGCAAGAAATCTGGCTATAAGTGAAGTAATTTTAGTTACTATGTTCACTGAATATGTCAATACATCATGATTGCTACCACAGGTGCAGGTCAATACATTTTTCATACATAAATCCCTCACACTTTAGTGTGCAGTTATTGCAAACTGTAAATGAATTATATAGGAAGTTATTTTAAAAAAATAAAAGTAAATGTTCAGTTAATTTGAACAAAAAATTAATCGTTCGAAACTGTGTGGCAAATTTCTCAATGTATTTACATGCAGCAAACTACAGATTTCTTTTTTTCAAAAGTGCAAAGAACCTTGGGGGAGAAGCAGTTTGAGGAGAAATGGCAGTAGAAAAAGTGGCTATCCTTTTCCTTCCCATTCAAAATCACTCCAACACCTCTGTTTCCTCTGCAGAATTTCGTATCAGCTGTTTTGCTACTATTTATGTATACATGTATTGCCTTCCTTTCATAGGAAGAACCTAAACTAGGTTCCATGAGGTCATGCATTCCTCAGACAGATCAAATTATTCGGCTTTTTTTAAACGTATGATTAAAGAAGCCCTTCATTTTGACTTTTTATATAAGACAAATATATTTATCAACGGTCAAATATTATTACCGTATACTTATATTTCTAGGTTAATCATGAAACAAAAGCAGCAACTGGTACAACCCAGAACGTTCCAGGAGAGCGAGACTAAGACATTTGAGTCAGCTTCAAATGAGCGCGAAGAACAGCTTGTATATTGTAATATTAACTGTCCTCTTTAAATAAAAGCCCGCCACTACAGTATTTTCACATGAAGCTCGTAAAAAGCCTCTCTTCCCCCAAAGAAGCCGATCCACCCAGTTGGTAATCTATTGAGTCTTTACAAAAGACATACAACATTCCAAACATGGACCGCGAATGTCTGTTAAGCGTAACTTATACTGAAATGCAGGGTTTCACCACAACCTGGTGCAACGACTAATATACTTCTTAGAAGTCAATCTTCGGCGCCTTGGCTGCTCTGGCCCGACCACGCTCCTCGCTTCGCTCGGCCAAATGTTCCGAGTGAGCCTTAAACTAACACCCACGCGGGTCACGTTCGCGGAAGGTGCTGGGCTACATTGGGGCACCTCATTCGAACCCTCCCGGACCGTAGCGCTCGCGCGCGCGCAGACCACCACCTGCGCGCCTTTCAAGAAATCTGTTCTGCCACAGCACGCGAGGCTTGCACTCGGAGTACAAATCCTGAAAGATGAATTGCACCGAGGTGAGCCGAGCCGGGAGAGGAGGAACAAAGAGGAGCTTACCTGTAAGCAAAGGAAGGGATCACCTTAGGACCTATAAAGCAGTGTTGTGGGGGGAAACCAGCCATTCACTAACACAAACTACAATCATAGTACCTCTCTACTTAGTTTTAATAAGAGCACGGACAATTACCCCTTGCCAAATAATGACATCGGAGGTACTCGTTCGTCCAGCTACCCGGCTAAGTTGTCAAAATAAGAGCACCCCCTCTCCTCTCCGCCCCGCCCGACTGCCAAACTATCGCCCGCATGAAGGAGACGCGCTTGGCTGTTGAAGGAACTGCAGCGCGTTCCTTATGCTCGCCTGTGTTCAGAAACATGCAGCTAAATGAGAGGGATTTCCGTATGGACTGTTAGTGAGGCAACTCGGAAACCAAGATTGTTCAGCTAAAGTTCAATGGGGCTGGCTCTTTAGACGAAAAAGGGGTTATAAACGGAGCTACTTTGAAACTCTCGGTCGGGCGCCTTCAGAGACAGCGAGACGGAACGGGGGAGGAAAGCAGAATAGGGCTGTCCGGATCTAGCTATTCAAATGCTGTAAATAGGCCATTTTCGTTGCGTTGCCTGCTTTGGCGGGGAACCTGTAAAGGCTTTATTCCAACACATATATAAAGATTGTCATCGCTGGCAGCGCTGCTTTGAATCCACCGATCGCAGCTACCGTCCAGGGCATTTCACTGTCTCCACTGGAAAAAAAAATGCCCGCCGCTGACTTCATTCGAGACCACGATTTTGATCCAGAAGCTGTTAACCCGCCACCCATTAGACTAATTGCTCTGACGGCCTCCATAGACAGACAGCGGTAAAGAGATAACGCTGCGGAGGTGGGAGTGCGCGCGAAGCGGCTTCGTGGTTAGGGAACAGGTGGAAGAACCGAGTTGATTGCACCTGCTTAGTAGCGTGAACGCGCGAAGGGAGGAAATAGAGTTTAGTGGCGTACAGTAAGCGGCAAAAAGTTAGATTCGCTTATCTCTGGAAAAATACACCCTCCCTCGAGTTCGAGTTGGTTTCAGGGACACTAAACAGAAACCGCATTCCAGCCCAGGGGACTCTGATTCTGAAGCAAACGCAAGCAGCACTTCTATAGCGCCCGATCAAATTTCTCTATTTCCAACTAGCCCGCTGGCGCTCCTTTTGTTCAAGTCCCCTCGTTTTTCCTCTCTTGAGAAGAGGACAGCTAGCTGGTGTACTCAGTAAATTAGTAGTTACCAACACACGACAACCCTGAGGAAGAAAAGAATATAGTGCCCAGTACTCTAATTCACACCACCATAGTTAGATGCTGAAAATAAGATTGACTGATTCTTTCAGTTGTCTAGTCCAGGATATGCCACGCAGTACAGTACTGACTTGGGTCTTTTTTTCCTCCCAGAGAAAACCTACTGTAATCTATTAGTCCAATCTTCCTTCTCCAACTTCTTATCCTTCAGATGTGTAATACTGTACTTCCCATCTTCTGACAAACTAGAGCTGTCATCCAACACAGCCGGGGAAGGATATATTCGTTCTTAGGTCAAGCTGTTTTCCAACTTTCAAAGAGGTAGACTGCAAATGTTTTGTGTCATCTTTTGCTATAACTCATAAGTTTGCCTTTAAAACTCCTCAAAGGCTGTTTCTACTTTCCAACAGTATAGGATAATACACTAGGAACAGCTAAGAACATTTTTATAAAAAATGCTAAGGCTTTCAAGCTTGTGGTGCATTTTGTGGATTTTATTTTTTCATATAATTAATATATTCAGTTTTAATTTTGTTAGCTTTATATTCTGCCTTGATTTGTATGACTCAAATCCCTCCTCCTATTTACATGTATGTATTTTTTAAAAAAATGATGTGCCATCCTTCAAAGACAGATTTTCCCAGGTGGTTTACAAAACATACAAAATAATAAATCAATCCAATCTACAATAAAACAAAATACTTGAAGTATATAACATTAAAATAATAAAATCCCAAATAAAGTTCCTGGAAATTAAATAAATAAATGAGAGGGATTAAAATACTGTAAAGACATATTTGGTACTGAAGAGGGACTAAAGGCAGAGCTCAAAGGAATGAGCCATTCACTGCACCTCAGACAAGGAAGGTGTATGGAGCAGGGCCTCTGAAGGTGATTTCAGGTAATGAGTAGCAACCTCTAGGAAGAAGGGTTCCTACAGGTAGTATGGTTCCAGACTGTGAAAGGCCTTACAGATTAATACCACTGCCATGAATTTGGACTAGAAACAAAATGGGAACCCAAGGAATATTTAATTGATTAAGTGCTGTCAAGTCAATGTTCTAGAGACCATATGGTTGACAGAATCTCTCTGGAATTATTTGTCTTCAGCTTGGCCTCTCCCAGTGGTGCATTCATTGTTATCCTAATCAAATCCATCCATTCTGGCATTGGCTGTCCTCTTTTTCTTTTTTCTTCAGCTTTTTCCCCTGTGTTATGGGGAATTGGTTCTCTGCATGATGTGTCCAAATATATAATGGTCAGAGCCCAGAGGATTCTACCTTGATTTCCTTTATGGCCCATTAGTTTGTTTTCTGGGCTGCCAATAGTATCTTTAGAAGTCTCAATCCAACACCAAAGTTCAAATGCATCATTCACAACAGTAGAGTGTCACAGGAAAAACCATTGCCCGAACAATGCTAATCTGTGTTGGTACAGATACATCACAGCATTTGAATATCCTTTTAAGGTCTTAACTGCAGTCATGCTAATTGCTAATTAGCAGCGTATATCTTGTCTGCTGTTTTTTGTATAATAATTTTATTAAAGATTACAGTAGGAAAAATAAAAACTAATACAGACTGCAAAAATATAAGAAAAAAGTGTAAAAAAGCAGAAAAAAATATATAAAGAAGTAACTTCCCCCTTCATCACAAGTATATACAATTTTAGTAACTTATCACCATCTCTTAAAGTACAACAAATACTCTCTTCAAGCCATATTGCATCTCTTAACTATAAACAAAATCAAAAGCTTCGTCATTCATTCCATATCTGCAAAAGTCTATTAAAGGTTACCACAAATAGCCACATATCTATTTTAACCTTGATCAAATAAACCCACCCTTTATTCCTTCCCTGTACTTTTAACAATCGCAGTTTTTAATCCTTTCAAATAATGTCTTAGAAATTTATTTCTTTTCACTTTTTTTCTTATCCCTTCTCAGTGAATCTTTCATAGCTTGAACAGTTTTCTTTTGTACATCCAGTAAAGAAAAATTATCCAAATCACTCTTCTGGTTTGGTACTTGTATGTCCCCTTTCAATATTGAGTCATCAACCAGTTTCAATTGTATGCCCAATATTTTATCTTTTTCCATGTGATACTTATAGCTTGTCATATTTAGATCCACTTTTAAATGAATTTCAGTTTTATCCAGTATAGCTTGTTCTTATTCTGTGACATCATTAGTATACCATCTATCCATGGTATCAGATATTCTTAAAATTAATTTCTGAGTGTGTTGCTCAAAAATATCCCTCAAACTATCCACTGTTGTAGTAAGTTGCCTCATTTTTGTTAACAAGTCAAATTTAGATATTCACCTTTAATTGTAATCTGTATTTTATTCTAGCTCCCTCTAGTGTCCAACTTTCAAAATTGTTTTTTTTCCAAAAAAACCCCAAGCAATCACAATTTCCCACAGGAAGGATTATTATAATTAATTTCAACTTTCCAACTTCATCTGGACCCTTAGTCCATTTTTTAACTTTGCAACATCAACATTCTAATCACCTTTTGCTCTTTATCCCAAAATTAATGTTTTTCCAAGTCCCCAAAGTCTTAATTAAAACCTCTTTTGTTAAGGAGAAGGAGATTCACCCAGTGAAAGAAATAAAGATTTGCTGCTCCGAAGGGTCTTAATATTTCAAAGCAATAAAAAAAAAATCCAAAAGTGATTAAGAAATGAGGCTTGGTCGAACTTTTTGTCCATAAAAGGCTGCATTACAGCTGTGAGCTTAGATGGTAAATTCCCTTGACTCCCAGCCACTTGACCTATAAGCAGATCGCAAAACCTCAGTTCCTGCAGTCTACTCATGAGGAGTAGCTGTCCAGAGTATGCTTGAGCTATCTCACACTCTCCTTTGGAGGGATTTTGCCGATCCCGCATCCATCCGCCGATCTCTGTCATAAACACCATCCCACTATGGTAGGAACATCTAGCTCACCACGGCATTCACCAGAAGTTCTGGATCCTTTGCTGTTGATGATCAATTCTAAAAGGCAGAAGCTATCCTCCACTTCAGTGTCATGGTATCATTTCTGACACTGATTGCTATATCTGCTCTCATTAGTCTTCTTTACACTTAATTGTAGTCCTGTTTTTTTTTCACTATGAAGATTGTCTAAGACCGGAAAAATATGTTTCTAACGTCTGACTTATATCTTGCCCTCTGTGACAGTATGAGAGAGATTATAAGGATGATTTCTAATAACATTTGAATATTGTAAAATCAGTAAAGCCAAAACTCTTTCAAAATAAAAAATAACAAGCAGATCCTAATCAAACCAGCCAAAATAATTCCTAGGCTTAATTATAATCAAAGGCTGCTTACTGTGGGGTTTTACAAACTGGGTTCCTTGAGGACTTGACTGGGTTCTGTGAGACTAAGTGAAAAAAAAGATATGTAATGTTTCCCTGTTTGTTTAATGCATATATGGATACATGTATAAATAATTATAAATAATTACAGGTATGTATGTTGGGGACATGAATGTATGTGTACTTCTGTATCCAAATGATACTATGTTCTTAGCTGAGAATCTGAATGATTTGTAGTGAACATTAGATAAATGGTTTTATGCAACAAGGAATGTGGATTTGAAAGTTAATATTATTGAAGATCAAGGTAAGAAGATATGGGATGAATGATTGCAACTTAAACATAAATGGCAAAAAAATTAAAACAGCTAGATGAATTTGCACACTTTAGAAAGTTTACTAAATATGGAGAAATGGATGGAGAATTTATAAAACACAAAAATGATGGTAGTAAGGATAATGGATAGTCTGTGTTCTGTTGAAAAAAAAAGTGCCAAAGTACCAAAAATGGATATGTATAGGAATGTGCTTGCACCCACTTTGTTGGAAATGAGAGTTGGGCATGTCAG